ATAAAAAATGGGGTTTACCCCCCCCCCCCCCTCACTTTTTTTTGCAGAATAGCAATACTAAAATATTGTGTTACTATGTACTCCAAAGATCCCCTAGGATTGTTCAGCTGTGTCTAAACAAGGGCTGTTCAACCCCAACTTCTGGCATGTAACAGCTATGTAACACTCCGTGGAATTGTGTTAGCCACTGAGCATAATATTCTTAGATTTAAGGGAAGAAGGGGCACTATTGCTGATATGTTTGATAATATTTTCAGTCATAGCTGTGTTCAATTTAAATGGTGCTACAAATAATTGATTTTTGCAGGTGTGTTCTGTGAAATAAATTGAAGACGGAAAATGTCATTCAAATGCCCTGTTCCCCATTCAAAGCCAGCCATCCATTCATAAAAAAAATTGCAGCTACTGTATGTGCTCATACAGCCAGATTTTAAATGCCCAATTCAAGAAAAACATGGATGCTTCTCACTTGTGGTTTGTCATTAGAAAATAAATAGGTGGACTGTTGCTCTGGACATCACTCTCAATGCATAACATAAATTTTATCAGAAGAATGACTTCTAACATGGGCAGCCACACAGAGCAGGATGTGGGGAAGACAGAGCTGCCTTGATGTCAGGACTTTCTTCACATACTTCCTGAATGCTGGCAGTGACATGTAAATAGCAACACTGCCAATCTGTTAACCCATGACAAGGTATGCGGTCAGGATGGAGACTTTACTTCAAATATGCAATAATATACAGTAAGATGACAATCATGTATATATATATATATATTAAATTTGAGATTATTTTAAATTAACTGGCAAGTATATGTCCTGAGTCAATTAAAAAAGCTTACAAAAAAATTGCACAATGTCCATTAAATATATATGTTTTTATCTCCATACATTTCTTCACTCCCAGACCACTGGCACATTATTTAAAAAAAACAAACGCATTTTACCCTTTTTCTAATATTGGTGGGGTGGGTCCTTGAAATTAAGCTGGCTCCTATCACAGAACGGAGGCACCTGTAAATATTTGCGTATGTATTCAGTAACTCTGCAGAGTACCCCAGTAGCCTGAAACCCCAGGGTGCTCCATAAAGGAAATTGTGATGACAGCTTAAAGTGTATCCATACCCTAAGAGTTTCTTAGTTTTGGATAGCATAGGGAAGGGTAAGGTTTTACTGCTGTCTACGGTTTCATTGCAGAGATTTCTTCACTTCCTGTCTGGTAAAAAGGTTGTCCCCAGAACAGTCAGTGAGGGTAAATCTTTCTTAACAGCAATACAGATCAAAGTATAAATTATATTTTTATGTTAAGTAGGGAAAGGCTAGAACCCCTATCAGCTTTTTATTGTCTAATTCCCTGGTGCAGATTCTCCCTCAGTTCCTGTCTGGTAGAAGGCAAGAAGCATAAAATGAACAGAAAGTGAGGGGAAAGCTACCTAATGGAGCTCTGGATAGCAGTAAACCTGACAGGGGTTCTATTATTTTCCCTTTTAACCAAAACAAAACATTTTGGGTATAGATACACTTTAAATGGCCACTGGTAGCCCTGACCCTTCTCAATATCTTTCGTCAATCAGAATGGTCACATTTTAGAGCTTAGCAGTCTTCAGAATGCAGTCATACGGTACTCATGAAATTTTGGCTCAACTACTGTATATCATATTTGGCCTTATTCAGTAACAAGTGTTTGTTCTTAAGTCCAGAACTGATCAGAATTCCCCCCTTAGTTGTCAAACCAGTAAATTATAAATTCGGAATCATTGCTATGGGTTAATGCGCTTAAGAGAAAACACTCTTCATAAAATAAGGCTGGCGTTTGGTAAAATGGCATCTCCTTACTTTTGTTACAGGATTTAGGAGCTAACTTACTGTCATCAAACCCCCAACCAAGTCATTGGTATGAGGATCTTCATCCTTAGTTCCGAGCTGTGGAGAATACAGTTCTGTTGTTCTTAATATCTCCAGGACTCGATCCAAAGCTTCTGCCACTGGCATCGGGCTGTTTTCTTGTGCAGCATTGATGATATTTATTACCTAATGGAAAACATGACAATATTTTGAATTATTGCTGAAAAATTAATGACAATATTGTAAGCATTCAGTAAATACTATGTAGTAGAGGCCAGGTCCTAAATTATTAAATTAGATATGACACTTGACCTAGAAACTTCAAATGCCTTTATTTAACAATCAAGAGAACATATTATGGCATTGTGTGAAATAGATCTATATTTATAAAAGAGTTCAAATTGTTAGCTCTTTTTCCTTTTAATTCCTGGAACTAAAATGACGACTCTATTTGTTCACTTTTAGCAACAGATTTGACACAAGTCATATTATAAGGACACATTGTTAAACAAGCCCAAGGGTATAAACCAGAAAGTCACAAGGGATAGGCCTGAATTTTAACATAAGCCCATGGATATGTTCTTGCCCAAATGATAGAAATTAATGGGATGCATTCACAGAAAGGTCAGGCTCAAGTGCAGTGCCTCTGGCATCCATACCATGAGGGCATACTTTTATCTTTCATGAAGCGACCAAACATTAAGAGTAAAAATAGACCTTATTATTCTCTAGTGCAGTAACCCACAGCAACCAATCAGACTCCATTTTGTACTAGTCTGACTTCTGTACTCACCAAAGTGAATTTTGATTGGCTGCTATAGTTTAAAGAGTTAGCATAATGTAACAATTTTTTGGGGGACGAGGCCACATAAAACTAACCAGTACACACATACAAGATGCTGAGTTAATGGGTTTTTAAGAAAGAATATTCACATACATAATTTACATAAATTATGATAGTAACCTACAGGGTTATTTACTAAAGGGTGAAGGGTTTGGGGAAGGCAGGAGAAGTGAACAATCTAGGAAACATTCTCCAATTTATCTCACTTTCCAGTTCAGCTATGCTGTCCTAGATTGTCCACTTCTCCTGCCTTCTCCAAACTCCTCAGCCATTTGTGAATAACCCCACTAATATTCAAATAGTTTTTCTGTAGGTGTTAAGAAAATCACACGGTAACACACTGGTTTGTCTTTATAGTCTTCAAATGTGAAAGAGTTAGTGCACAGAACTTGTTTTATTTATTGATTAAACGTAGGGACTTGGGAAAAGATGGAATTAAAAGCAATCCACCAGTCTAACAATAGCAACCATTGATCAGTGTCAGAAGACAGCGTAGCTAAATACGATAAGGTCAATATAAATACAAACGCTCTTAAAGCACTGCTAAGCTAGAAGTACTGTGCTAACACCTTGTTAGTAAGAAAGGGTTTACCCAGCTGTCAGTTCTTGGGAAACTCTTTCAGCTCTGCAAAGAACAGTATCTTGTATTTCAATTAATAGTTTAAAGAGTTAGCATAATGTAACAATTTTTTGGGGGACGAGGCCACATAAAACTAACCAGTACACACATACAAGATGCTGAGTTAATGGGTTTTTAAGAAAGAATATTCACATACATAATTTACATAAATTATGATAGTAACCTACAGGGTTATTTACTAAAGGGTGAAGGGTTTGGGGAAGGCAGGAGAAGTGAACAATCTAGGAAACATTCTCCAATTTATCTCACTTTCCAGTTCAGCTATGCTGTCCTAGATTGTCCACTTCTCCTGCCTTCTCCAAACTCCTCAGCCATTTGTGAATAACCCCACTAATATTCAAATAGTTTTTCTGTAGGTGTTAAGAAAATCACACGGTAACACACTGGTTTGTCTTTATAGTCTTCAAATGTGAAAGAGTTAGTGCACAGAACTTGTTTTATTTATTGATTAAACGTAGGGACTTGGGAAAAGATGGAATTAAAAGCAATCCACCAGTCTAACAATAGCAACCATTGATCAGTGTCAGAAGACAGCGTAGCTAAATACGATAAGGTCAATATAAATACAAACGCTCTTAAAGCACTGCTAAGCTAGAAGTACTGTGCTAACACCTTGTTAGTAAGAAAGGGTTTACCCAGCTGTCAGTTCTTGGGAAACTCTTTCAGCTCTGCAAAGAACAGTATCTTGTATTTCAATTGCTACTGAGAAAAATATAAAAATAAATTTCAAATGAAAAAAAATGCCCCCAGCAGCCCAAACCCACTAAGCCCAAACCCCCACCCCCTTCCTCCGAGTGGGTATTTGAGTGGCATCCTCAACTTTATATATAAAGGCTCCTACAGTTAATTGTGTCTCCAATCCCTCCTGCAAGTGGGGAGGACAGATGACTGATGCAAAAACAATCCTCTCTACTAAAAATTGGTGTACCATAACACCCTCTCAGGTGGCACAAAGGGGGTTAATTAGGTGTGAAAAGTATATGGCCCTGTATCTACTTCCTGCTGGTAAGGAGAGGATAATTTGGTGTAAACTTACATGATCTGTACCCCTTACTGCCAACAAAAAAGGGTTAAAGCTGAACTCCTGGATAAGCAAATATTGTTTAAATAGAAGAGGCATGTATATCCTTACTTGAATCTGAGTGAGCCTTGTGTATTTCTTCCAGATCTGTGCAGTAATCCAGTGTTATACTTTGCCTCTGTGCAGGAGCTTCCTGTGATTAAGACCAGCCACTGCTGCTCTCTCTTCTTATGCAGGCCGGCTGGTCTTGTATCCGCCCTCTCTTCTAGTTTACTGCACCCAGCCTGCTGGGCCCCTCCCACAGCTCTGTGCAGCATTGTGATGATGTCAATGCTTTTTTGTACAAGGTATTGTCAGGATTTGCATAGGCATTTGATACACACAAAGTGCATTTACAGTATGATCTCTGTGGCTATTGAGGAATGTATTTCAATTAGAGTTTTGTGCCTGGAGATTCCCTTTAATTTTGCCTTCTATCCCTGCCTTCCCAGGTTAAAGGCATTTCGGGAAGCAGGGATGGATATCAGGTATAACGTAAAAAAAAATTTTTTTAAGAAGATTAAAAAAAAAAAACTGCCAAAAAAGAGTTTTTGGGCATAATAGACAGGTCAAGTCTCTTCTGCCAAAAAACAGCTGCTGCTAACTATTAGCATTTTTTATCTCTTGTGTACATGGTATTGGGCATACAGTGTACGGTGCACCACCCCGGGTCCTTCCCAGCATCTGCAGTATACCAGGAATCAAGTCGGGCGCTGAGGACGATGTAACTCCTGTGGGCATGCGCAAGAGTTATGTCATCACAGACAGCAAAGAGAATGATGGGGGACCCAGAAGAAGCAGCAAATAATATGGCAGTGGCGGTGGACGGTGCAGCAACTGAAGAGAATATGGGTCAGCGCTAGAGGAGAGCTAGATAAGTGTGCCATAATGTGCAAGCATGCTGTACATACTTGCATATTATGGCAAGAGCCTTCCTGCCACAGAGGACTTTACTTAATAACTATACTTACACTATAATGCATTCATAAACATAACATTAAACCCGCTCCGTACCTTGTCTGACCAAGGGAAGAGTTGCAGCTTGGACAGTAACACTTTTCTTAAAAAATGCTGCCAAAATGACAAGGCTAGTAGAGAATCAGGATCTAAATAATGACAGCAACTGGTATGTGATAACTATCTGTCACTCAGCTCTAGTTACCTTATAACGTGTCTAGTGCCTAGAATAAAGTAACAATCAGTTATTATACTATTCACTGTTTTGTCATTAGAGTAAACCTGTCATGCCAGTAAACATATTAAACTGGCAAAATGTTCTGGAAACAGGCACCTATAGGTCCCGGGCACCCCTTTAGATATCTGCTGGTGCATTCTAGGAGCTCCTGGGGCATTCACTTAGGCAAATCTCAACTTCAGAACATAGTTGAGAAGTAGAAATGGATGTGTTTGTCTAACTTGAACTTTGGACAAAATTAATTTACTCAATTTTCTATTCTAAAGTCTGTGACGTCAATAAAATAAAAATTGCACACAATGGCATAAGAGCCTTAATAAAAAAATAGCTAATTTTTAGTCTAATCGGCAATTATAAGTCTTATCAGGCGGTACGATCAGTACAAGCCAAGGAACATTTTGCTTTCTGCAGACATTAACCACGTGCAAAATAAATCTGAAGGATTCTCTAAACCATTTCATGTGTCTCCTTTTTTCCATCTCTTCTTTTTTTTCTACCTAGCACACATATTGGATTCATCCTCCAGGAGCCCACAATGAATGCCTGCAGTGATTGAGATTTTCTTGGCGTGCTGTGTAACAGAACAGCAGGATGCAGGATACAAACATATAACCACCAGGGGGCATGGGATGGACATGTAGACATTTCACTAAGCAGAAGATGGACCACACGGAAATATACTTGATAACTTTTCGCTGACAGGAAAACGCTGCAAAAACAAATTATTTTCTTTTCTAAGCAGTAAATACAAAGATGAAAGCAGTTGCAGTGTGCAAATTTCCTGTGTAAATACCCCTTCAAGAATAATGGCATTACGATGCATACTCATGTGCTTAACATTGCTGCATTGTCATTGGGATCATAGATTAAATTTAACTGGGGATTTTTTTTTCTTATTCACATGGTTCTTAGTTAACTCTGAGGTGACCGAAGTACATTTGGTAACTATCTTTTGGGGATAAAAATCTGTCCTTCCAGTCTTTTTTTATTCCCTTTTATGTTATGATTACCACTTGAATCAAGGTTTATTTTTATTGGCAAAACTGCTAAATAACTCAAATATTGGTAGTAGATGTAAACAGCCCAGTGATCATTGGGAGGCCGCATTCACACATTTGGGGCAGTCTAGCAAATTGCTCCGTGAGACCCGTGCAGTGATTACCTGCTGATGATTGCCCCTGAAGCCAAACAGTTTCCATCCAGGGTTGACTATCCACAGGTAATTGCAGCATGTCCAATTACATGTAAAGGACTGCATGTATTGTTAGCTGTTATTGCTTTAAATAGTGCACAGCTGCTCGAATGACAATCTACAAACATATTTGTGTTCAACATTTGTATTCTCTGCATACCTTATTTTTCTTTTCTTCGCCAGTTTTCTGGCAGTAGCCATGTTAACTAATCGCAAATTACTAGTTCCGTATTTACTTCCTGGAACTCTGGCACATGTGACTAGACATGTAACTAGGACATGTGACCATGCACATCATATCAGTGGAGGAAAATGCCTTTTCCTGAGATCTCATGAGATTACCAAGCAATGCTCTGGCCCAGGATGCAACGCTTTGGCATTTTGCCAGAACTGGACCAGGAAGTAGATGAACTCTATTTGTAAGTAAGTAAAAAAAAAGTTTGTTTAACTAATGAATGTAATATGATTTTAAATCAGCAAGTAAAGCTCAATGCTGATGTGATTTTTAGTAAAAGGGGGTAAAGGTCCTCTTTAATAAAAATAAATAGATAATCTGCTGCAATAACAGTTGTAAGGGTTTAGTGCAATAGTGAGAGGCTAAATAAAGGGTTAAATAGTATTACTTCCTATTCTTGCTCTTATTCTTGTATTTTAAGGTGTTTTGATAAATCCTAGTTATATTTATTAGGGAAGCACCGATACTAGTATCGGAATCAGTGCCGATACCCTAATTCAGCTGAACTGTCACTGGTCTCCTGATTCTGATGCATTAAATAGCCATTTTTAAGGGGTCTTTTCACTAAGCTGCCGAAGGATCTAGCCGTAGTTTGGCTGATCCTTCGGCTAACTGCGGCCATAGGACCCCTTCGGATCAGTAGAACTGAAGGGCTGCTGTACAGGCTATTCACTATAGCCCGTACAGCTCCCGAAGTTGGGCGAGCGGCTCAGTCGAGCCGAAAGCATATGCCTTGGCTCGACTGAGCCTCGGTGAAAGCCGACAGCCTGCTTCTGACAGCTTGGCTGAGCCGGTTGGCTCCGGCCACTTTCAGAGAGATCAGCGTCCCTGGTTACCAGCTAACCAGGGACGCTGTCATTACACACTGAGAGCGGCCTCTCCGTGTTCTCAGTGTGTAATGACAGATGGCGTTACCTGGTAACCAGGAACGCCATCTGTCATTACTCTCCCGGACGCTCTGGGAGTCTAATACAACTCCCGGCCGCCCGGGAGAGAAACACTTTCTCCCAGAAAGGTTCACTCTGCTCGATTGAGCAGAGTAAACCTTTCCCTGCTCGTTGGCTGCCGTCAGAATAAAAAGATAAAATCAACATAGGAATGCATAGCTAGATTCCTATTGGCTATTTCAATTTGCAATAGCCAATAGCAAACTAGCTATTGCACCCGCTCACTGCTGCTGTCAATCAGCAGAGGGGGACCTGCAGTTCTCCTTTAGGTCCCCCTCTGGTGATTGACAGCAGCGGAGGACGGGTGCAATAGCTAGTTTGCTATTGGCTATTACAAAGTGAAATAGCAAATAGGAAATCTAGCTATGCATTCCTATAGTGATTTTTTTTTTATTCTGACGGCAGCAGAACCTGCCCGGCCAATAGAAAACAGTTGGGCGGAGCTAGCTGTCACTGTTAGCTCCGCCCAATCGTTTTCTATTTTATGTTTTACTACTTTTTAAACTGTTTTTCTACTCTGCTCGGTACCACAGAGGTACCGAGCAGAATAGCCCAGCCGAATGCCGCTCGGCGGCATTCGGCTATTCACTCACTGCTGTGGGCATCTATGAAAATAGGCCGAACAGCAGCGAGTGGCCTGCCTGAGGTTCGGCTTAGCCGATCCAGATGTTGGATCGGCTGATTCGAACTCCTTCTGTTCGGCCGAGCCGAAGCCACCCGATGTACGGCTGATTTCAGCCGATATACTGGAATCAGCCGTACCAGCCTGAAGTGAATAGCCGAATAGCGTTCAGCTCACTTCGCTTCGGGTCGGTTAGTCACTCGTGTGTGTGTGTGTATATATATATACATATATATATGTGTGTGTATATTATTATTATTTCTTTTTTTATTGTGGTGGCATACAGTATTTATATACACAGTGCTGCTCATGTATTGGCTTCACTGATGACAGAGTATTTTGAGCAACAGGATTTTAGTATTTAATTGCATGAATGAAGGACTCTGTGCATTATAAATCCATGACCTCTGTTGTAGCTAATGATACTAAAGATATTATTTATTGGTAAGGTACCTTGGTAATAGGAGCTTCAATGGTCATCGAATGTATTCTGGCCATTGAAGAATGCCGCCTCTGCGAACTACCTAAAAAAAAAAAAAGAGAGAAAGGTTTAGTAACATGTCAGTATATTCATAAAACATTTTTTGGGTAATATATAAATATATATATGCACAATACTGTGCAAAAAGTTTGGGCACTTGTAAAAAAAATTCTGTGAAGATGCTTTCTAAAATAATGCAATGAAATAAATAGTTTGCATTTACCAATTAACAGCCTACAAGGGGCATAGAGAGAAAAAAAACGAAGGGGGTTATTCACTAAATAGCCTATGGATCTAGCCGTAGCTTCGGCTGATCCTTCAGCTCTCTTCGGCTACCTCTGCCCTACAGCAGCTGAAGGCAGCCGAGTGGCTCAGCCGAGTCGAAGGCATATTATTCGGCTCGACTGAGCCAAAGTGACGGCCGAAGCCGACTGATCTCCACGCAAATGACAGCTGGGGGAAGCCAGCCACAATCCCACGGCTGGCTCCGCCCAGTTGTAATGACAGATCAATAAATAACAAGTATCCAAAATTGTGCCGTTTTGGTAAATGGTGAAAACGGCACGTACAAAAAACTGTAAATAAGCAATTTATGTTTAAAATCTGGAGGCTTGCTTAACACATCGCATTGTGGAAAAGTCTGATCTGAAGTGCCGTGTGTGTGCTGCCTTCATGTGCATCGCAATAAAATTATGCAGGCATGAATTTTATTGCAGTGCAGCATGTTGCAATTTCTGCTGCTGTACATTGAGTTGAATGCATGTACTTTTTAAAAGGTTTAAAAAGATGAAAGGAAAACCAAGAACTGTGATGTATTATAACAATGCACTGCCGTGCATGGGCACACCAGCACACCGGTTATGCACACTATAATCTGCACCAGCTGGTAGAAAAACAATCTTGGAGAGGAACTGCTGCACTCCTTGCCGGAACCCCCTATGTATAAAGGAGGGTGCTGTAGTAACCACGAATGGCGCCGTGCATCTTCAAATATGTGATAAATGTCACCAACACACCTATATCTTGTGTCAATAATCCATCTTCTTTATTGATGCAGACTGTCACAAAACAACGTTTCGGGGCCACGCAGGGTCCCCACATCAGGTTTTAATATGATGTCATACTAAAACCTGATGGAGGGGACCCTTGCGTGGCCCCGAAACGTTGTTTTGTGACAGTCTGCATCAATGAAGAAGATGGATTATTGACACAGGTGTGCTGGTGACATTTATCACATAGCTGGTGTAAATAGGCCCTTAGTGTGCTGGTGCACCACAACACCAAGACACATAACATGATTTACCACAATATATATAATTGGGGGGGGAGGAGGAATATTTCTTTTTTTATATTTTATTTTGTACTAGCTGCAGCTTCTACGGTATACTACAGCGTCTTCCAGGTATAGGAACAGCCACTGTGCTAAGCGACTTCCCCAGTGCTGGTAAAACACAGCAAATCATTGCTCAGGACAGCAGCCATTCATAGGATGCATAGTATATTTATTCATAAATACTAGGCATTCTCTGATTGTATAAGGGGTAGTGATACCATGGCACCATCTCTCATCTCATTAGAGAACACCTAGTATTGATTGAGAAAAATACTAGGCATCCTTTGAATGGCCGCTGTGCTGAGCAAGTTACCTGTTATGTTTTAACAGCACAAAGGAAGTTCTGACGAATGTTCCATATCCGGTAGATGCTGTAATACACTGTAGTAGTATATGCTTACACTGTGCAAAGTTGGACCAATTTAAGTATATACATTTTTAACGCTGGAGTTTAGCTTTAAAGTAGAACTATGTCCTTCAATTATTCTATTCTATTAAACATTGTGCTGCTGCACTTAGATGTAAGTGCCTCTAAACTTACAGTTTTCCCTTTGTCCCTGTGCAAAGTCTCACGAATACCTGTTGATTCTGTCCATCTCATGCAGCTTATTGTAACTGTGTGATAATGCAGCTGCACTGCTCCTAAACTCAGAGTATAGTTGTCCCTCTCATGTATGCTGTGCGTGTTTGCACTACAGTGGGGTGAAAAACTGTTGCAGGGGACATGGCTATCAGAATTGTGTCTGCTGATTCACAAGCCTGTAGCTTCAGCACCTGGCCACACCTAGTCCTGCCCACTGCTTTCAGATTGGCGGTACTTCCTCTATTGTTGACCCCTCCTACTGTGACCTGCAGTGCCTGGAAGGGGAACGTGTAAGAATAAATAAAGAAGGATACGGCTCTGTCAGGGAAGGTGAGATTTGTGAATTATATAGTACCTGGATTTGGGACATGTTCAGATTGTCATACAGAAGCCTTTAGATGTACTTTAACAAACATCATATATCAGTAGAATTACTAAAGCTAAATGTGATTTTTTTCTAATTAGAAAAATGGGTTGAAGACCTGTTCTTCTAACTTGTTTAAGTTTGCATACCGTCACTTCCTCGGGAGGTGGTTGACCTGACGTCTAAAGAGCCTTTCCGCCTGTCCTTGTGTCTGGAGCTCTGGATATCTGTGGGAAGAAAAATAAATGTTTGTTTGAACCTTACTGAACTTTACTAAGACTTCTGTTATCAGTGTCAGCAAAATATCCCTCATCATTCCTACAATATAACATTTGTTATTAACTGTAAGCGAATAAAACCACATCCACTGACAAAACAGCCTTAACAGTCTGCCTTTTTTTTTGTTTAAACAGAGAGCTGTACATTGTATTATTAGGTCCCCCGTATGTTTCTATCTGTGGTATGAGAATATAGTAAAACACATTTTAGTGGAGAATAAAAGAACTTGCTTAACATAAAACTAAATATTTTCATAAGCTCCTATATATGTTTCCAAGAAGCATGTCGGTAAATAATCCTCTTTAACTCACTCCACCATTAGTGACTTATTGACCTGCAAGAGATGCTGCTATTTATCCGCATTCACCATTCAGATTCAAGCGTTCAGGTTTTACATTGATTTTTTGCAAAGCACAGGTTGAACATTCATCTGGAAGTGGATTGAGTTTTGGGTGAGGTGGATATGATATCTGGTACCATAAACAGAACCAAATTTTACCAGGAAATAGACTTTTGCTCATCTATCTGAACATTTGTCACAGTCTTGCCAGTTTCAGACATTGTATGTTGGCAATCGGAATGTGTGTGTCATTCTGTGTATTATAAAACATAGCATACCCATTTCAATAAAAGTTGAAAGGATGAGAACACTTTTAGTGTGCTTACCCTTTCCTACCCCCTTCTCCCACTTTTAGGTTGTTTTATATTTACCTACAACGCTGCCCTCCTTGGCTAGGTTCACACCTAGGCGATTGAGCCGATGAGATGTTTTTGCGCGTTTTTTTTTTCATAGAGAGGTCTATAGGACAACAACCGCCCGAAAATAGCTTCTGCACCTTTTTGCACAACAGGCAATTTCGGCCATGGGACGCAACGCAAAGGTGTGAACAGGCCCCTTTGACTTCAATGGGAATCTGTATTTTGCACGATGTCGCGTGGCTAAATCCGTGTGATAACTCGCCTAGGAATGAACCTAGCCTTACATCTCCAATGAGATGGCTTTCCCAGCTCTGGACATCTTCTAGATAAAATCTAGATAAAATCTGGAGAAGTCTTCTAAGTGGTACCCACACATGTGTGGTGAAGCATCTATTCACTTGATGAAAAACCCACCTCTCAGCTTGTCAAATAGTTTTCCATTTAAATCAATGGTGATGTGACATGCATGTGCAGGTCCAGCTTAGATGTTTTTGTGCCTGGGTCTATGGGGCATCATGTAGGCTACATTGTGTAAATCATTGTGTAAATCTTATGACATTGGCACTGTAGAAAATATAACTGGAAGTGCTGGGGAAAAGGAAGAGAGTAGAAAAGGACAAGTGCACTTTCATTGTACTCATCCTTTTCGAATTTTATGAATCACCATGTACTTCCATATCACCTATAAACACAAAGTCACAATTTACAGTAAGGGGTACATTATGCCATATTTAATTCCCCAAAAGTAATACAAAGCTGCAACATATTACAGATGGACATATTCAAGCTATGCATCAGTCTGCATATTTATAAATCACCATCAGTTATAAAGAGACACTAAACTCTTCAAACTTGAAGTCTACCTTACACTTTACATTGGTAATCTTTCCAGAAATATATGCCTTCTAGGAGGAATAGATATAGGCCACTGGGAAATAAAAGCAAGCTAAAACATGGTGAATATACCTTTCAGGGCCCATTTACATTTGTGCGATTTTTAAATTCACGTGTGTTAACGGCGTTTGTTGCCCGTTGCATTAAAGCATTCCACTGAAAATAATGTGCTGCCAAGACACCAAAACATCACAATAATCAGATGTGCCACAGTATGCTTGAAGGCATATGCTTTGGTTCGACTGAGCCAAGTCGAACAGTGTGCTGCCTGCCGGGGGCTCGTGTTCGACTCATTGCGGAACGAATTGACAGATTACTAGATGGGGTTGGGCACGACCCCGTTGTCATGGTGCACATCGGCACCAATGACAAAATAGGAGGAAATTGGAGTGTCCTTAAACAGGAGTTCAGAGACCTAGGTGCTAGGATGAAGGAAAGGACCTCCACGGTAGTTTTCTCAGAGATACTGCCGGTGCCAAGAGCCACTCCGGACAGACAGCGCGAGTTGAGGGAGCTTAACAAGTGGCTCCGGAGCTGGTGTCAGAAGGAAGGTTTTGGTTTCCTGGAGAACTGGGCTGACTTCGCAGTCGGCTATCGGCTCTTCAGCCGAGACGGGCACCAAATGGCCGGCCGAAAGCCTGCTACTGACAGCTGGGCAGAGCCAGCCGTGATCTCACGGCTGGCTCCGGCCACTTGCAATGACAGATCAGCAATGACACTTGCAATGACAGATCAGCGTCCGCTAGTTACCAGGTAATACTGACCGGTCATTACTATGAGAACTCGGCAGAGCCGCCGTGATATCATTCCAGGCTCCGCTGAGTTCTCAGTGTGTAATGACAGTTCAGCGTCCCCTGGTTACCAGTTGTTATTCATTGGCCGGGACCTGCTCTAGCTAGCTATCTGCCCAATCGTTATCTAATTTTTAAAGGTACCGAGCAGAATAGCAGAGCCGAATGCCGCACCTAGCCCTTCTATTTATTGCACCTAGCTTATTTCTTAAAGGGGTAATCCATCCAAAATTATAATGCATTTATAGGTGTTGCTTCTTTTATGTCATGGACAGTGAGATCTTCCAGCCATAATTCCTGACCCTGTTTTCAGCCCACCCAGGAGTGAACGGATATAAAGTCAAATCCACCATGGAGAATGAGATCCCATCATAATGGTCACAGCAATTGTACAGACCCAGGAACTCAAATTCATATATCTTAACAATAAGGTAACTGATAGGTATGATTGAAACTAGAATATAGTTTAACATTCTAGAGCCTATAAAAAACTGAAATAACCCCCTTTTGGGTGGAGTGATGCTCAATTATTGACATTAAATATAAATGTGTCTCTTGCCATGTCCCTCTGGTCAAATGAAATGGCACATTCTGCAAGCGGCAGGTTTTGTCACAGACCTCTGGCAGACTAGCAATTTAGGTAATTCTGCACCGAGCTTAAAGTCCCAATTTAAATAAATGACACCAATATGACTGTAGGAAACAGTTTAATCCTATTACCGGAAGAACAAACCTGTTTGAGACTCAGCCTGAACTCGCTCACATTGTTTTTCTGCCTGAAAGCAAACATGAACAATCAGTCTTTAATTCCACAAACAGTGCTGAAGATTTACATTACGGATTTGTTACATGAAGAAATAGACATACCTTGTTGTTGTCATTACACGGCCGACTAATAGACACATAGTGTCTGATCTTACTGTAAGAAAGAGACTCAGATTTAAATTCACACATTTAAAATGTGCAGAACATTACTACGTAGAGTATAGCAGTAAATTGGTGGAATCAATATACCCTGTATTCATTTCCAAAAAGAGTTCCCTAATCAACAATTTTAAAAAGTATATTTTGGTTTTCATTTCTTCTCATGCAGCAGACAACAGAAGTGGATTACACATTAGACATTTAACAGATTAGTGCAGTTATGTCATTATAACAATGTAATGAAAGACAATTGATGATGTTTCATAGTGATCTGCCAGTACAATACACTGTAATGTACTGTAGTTTGGATTATGTTTTGTGAATACAGCTAAACTTCATTGCTGTATCAATAAAAGTAATATGTTTTATAACGAATATATCTTACATTATCTCCATGCATGCACATATACGCACACATGCACGTGCCTCATTCACACAGGCGGCCAAGGGGTGGTATAGATAGATGGTTTATCCACATTTTCACCACCCCCCCACCGCCCACGTAAAATTCAATATAGCGGCTGCTCATGCCTGCATACATGCTGCGCCCGCGATGCGTTGTTGCAGCGTCAAATTTTAAACAGCATGTCATTTTTGGCAGGTGGTGGCGCATGACAAATGCGACTGTTGCAATCAATGGGATCATGTTGTAACTGTATGGGAATGCTGTCGCGGTATGGTATTGCAATGGAAAATTCCTATTGGGATAAAAAAAAAAAAAACATTCAGGATGCAGCAGTATTGACTCCTGAATGCAGGTCAGCTGCTGCTCTACCTCTACCTGAAAAATTATCCACCGAGGATCACTTTTCAGAGGGGCAATGGAGCCTGTGTGACTGAGGCCTAAGACTTTTGATCCCAGATTTTTTTCTTAGTTGATTTAATATGGGACTATATTCAAATGTAAACATAAAGCTTACTTTAACAGCTAGCTTTAACATTGGTAAGATAAATAAATTAAGAGTAACAGAAGGGTACTGGCCTGTGTTTTCTGGAGAAACTGCTGCCTCAGACTCCTTCTAGTGCTAATGACGTAATCAAGAGCATAGAAATCCGGCCATATGATCTCTGCTGACAAGGAGGGTCAGTCAAACTGAACTCTGATCCTCCCTGTCTGCAGACATCATGTAATCAAAGGCCTAGGATTCTGGTTACATTATCAACACTAGAGGAAATCCGGAGTAGCATATTCACAATGAACCAACTGTCCTTCTATAACAAGGGTCTCAAAGTACCGGCCCACGAACCAGTACCATTTGGCCCGCAGCCAACCAACAAATCAGGCACGTGGTCACGGACCGCTTACCTGACTTGTGGCAAAAGCTATACGGTCTGCATCTCTGTCAGATGCACACTACATAGCTGCTCCTGTCAGCGCCAGTACTCTGTCTGTCAGAGCGGCGGCCAACCAATCATGACCAATCATGATCAATGCATCCAGGGAGATTGATTGATTCCTAACTGCATGCAATCGTATCACATATAATTACATGCGGCGTGCAGACGTTTACATGCAGTGGCTATCCCCTGATCATTATCTTGAGCGGGTGACAGCTACTGCATGTAAAAGCCAGATATGGATTCTTGCTGCAGGAAAACACAAGTTCCTGATGCAAGAATCCCTAATGGCAAGAATCCCTAATCGCACCTGAACTTACAGGTGTAAATGGGTCCTTCTTGTATGTATTAGTGTACGTGTTTGTGGGTCTGGGTGTGTGCGTATTTCTATGTGAGCGCATATGTGGGTATTTCTGTGTGTGTGTGTATATTTCTGTTAGGGGGGGAGTGTATTTCTGTGTGTGAGTGAATGTGTAAATCTGTTGGTCCTCTATGATTAAATTTAAAATATAATGATATGACACACACAGAAACATTAACACACATACCAACATCACTCACAAAAAAAACTGACAATACAATACACACACACCAACACTAAAAAATATACTGACACTAATATGCAAAGAAACCATCATAAAAACACATATACTGACATTATAGACACACGCGGATATTAACACTGGTACCGTATATAGTTACATTTTATTTTGAAGTATGAAATATGGCAAGTGGCCCCCATGGGAGAAGATAATTTGTCCAACAGCCCCCAAGTGAATTGAGTTTGAGACCCCTGTTCTATAACCTTTTACTTACATAGTATAGGTACAACTTAAATATTACAATTCACCAATTATGTTATAAAGTGAGATTCTACCTTCACAGGAAAAAATAATGACTGCCTGGAGTCTGATTCTTTAACATAAGCTGCCTTGCTCCACTTTTAAAAACAGGCCTAAACATTTCAGATTTTTACTCCATGCATTCCAACAATCCAGGCTGTCAGACCTCAAATGGGTCATTCAATCTCGAAGACTAAGGACATACTATTAATACTATGAAATGGCTATCATCATACTAGTCATGGCTCCGGCCTTGAAGGAGGTGTCATCACGCACCCTTTATTCATAGTGTATTGATGCAGAGAGCTGCACCAACGCCATTATGTTAGCGTCTTTCAATGAAGATCACACACACCGGTGGAGAAAATAGGGAGAGGAAGAGAACCCAGCATGTCATGTGACTGGCCAAAAGATATCGGAAAAAGGGAGGTATATTTAAAAAAAAAAAATATTTCAAACACATTGTGGGAGTCTCTAGAGTATCGCCTATGGGGGGCCATGGAAACCGGAGCTGGGCTTTAAAGGAAAGCTTTAGTGGAAGGTGTTCAAAGGTTTGTGATTTAGACAATATGAGAAGCACTGTATCAACAGTCAGACAGCTAGCATTTTCAAAAGCAGAGGTCAGCAATGGCAGTCCACATATTTCCAGCCCACATGTAGTACCGATAGCTGCCAATGCTGACTTCATTTGTAAAGCTACAGGCTTTGAAGTTGTCATCCTGATCCCATTAGTGGAGTTTTCACTGAAGTATAAATTTGTATAGTTCTTGACACAAAGAACACAACAGAATTAGCTACACTATTTGCCACCCATTTACAGTTAAAAATGACATACCCTCGGTGTCCAAAAACAGGAATTATCTTCACATTTTGCTGGATATTGTCACCATTTTTGTTTTTGGCATAGTAAACACCTTCCCACTCCTGTAATAAAAGATGTACACAAGTTACCTTTTATTCAGCAGTAAATATTATATCAGTCAACAAGTCATGCTCAACTACAAAATGTGATAATAGAGCTAGTGATCAATAGTGAAAAAATGCACAAAACAACATAGCAATTAATGACAACCCAAAACTAAGGTTCTATTCCAAATCCAGGTAATTCTTAGGGTACTTCACAAAATTGAATCTAGTCTAAAAGGTGGAAAAGGGATTTTGAGGAAAGGTTAATCTCATTTGTATTTCATTGGGGTAAAAGGTACTGCTGAGGCCTCAGAGACCTGTACAGACCCAGTACTGTATAAACTCCTGTCCTGCTCCATTTAAGATAGATTACTGTATTTTCGATGGGGTCAACTTTTAAGCAGTTACACAAATTATATACATTTCATATAAATGAATATTAATAATAATATTAACTACATATTCTAGCACAAAGACACTAACATAATGAGAAAATGTCTGCTTAATTTAAATTTAAAATTAGATTTTTTTACTGTTGAGCAAAATTACTATTTTCATTGGTAAGCTTAATTAGTATATTCTATATGACATAATTTGTTACTTTCCTAAAAAAAAGGTTAAATAACTTAAATAACTTGATATTTACCTTTCCCGACTTGATACAAGAATTAATATTATCTAAGAAATCAGATTTTTTTTCATTATTAGGCACTTCAATTAATTCTTTTCCATATAGTTCTTCCTTCTGATAACCCATTGTGGTTTCAAAAGCAGGATTCACATACTGGAACAAAAAGTCACAAAATAGTTTGTCACTTCAGTCACAATGAGAATTTTTATATGCAAAATGTTTTGTTATTCACCAGTCAACTGATTGGATTTAAATGCTTCTAGAGCAATTTCAGGTTGTCATTTTTTTATAACAGCATTGACAAGACACTAAAACAAGCAGTTATATATGAAATACAGTAATAATATTTATGGGTTTTATGTAATAGCTTAAATAGCAATGTGCAGTTACTCACAGAAAACCATAACCTTTCACTGCTATAAGCTGATGAAAGGTGAAATCCGATTGGTTAAGCTTCGTTCACACCTAGGCGTCAACGTTTTCACGCATATTAGCACGCATTTTGTCTAGCGTGTTTAGCACGTTTTTGCTTGTTTTGCACATTTTTGCGTATGTTAGACGCGCTCACATGAAGACACGTGTTTTAGCGAGCAGATTGAAAAACGTTACGGTAAATGGACAAACACGCAAGGAAATGTGCAAAACGCTTGTGTCACGCCTTTTGTTTCCAGTAGTTCCCATTGAAGTCTATGGGGACAAGCGCGCTGTAATCTGCCAAAAAAAACAATTCTTGCAATTACTTGTGTTGAGAGTTTTGTTGAACTTAGCTTTAAGTGTGAACAGGGACTTACTGTGTTTCCACTGCATGTTAATCATCATCGTTGCTCACTGTATTGCATATTTATAAGTGTGGCCATACCCAAAATGGATAAATACCTTGGAGGTGGAAGTGTACTTTTTTTGTCCTTCTGGAAAATCTCTGCAACCTAACAAAATCCTTCTATTTTCTCCATAGAAAATAAAAAGAACCTTTCACCGTATGTGCTCTATACATCACTCAAGTTATGAATGAAGGCTGTAGCAAAATCCAGTGGCAAGCAATCCAAGTGAGGATGGGAAAGTATCTCTCCAACTATTACTATGAGTGGTCTGCCTATCTATGGTTATCCTAATAGTCTCTTTTTCTTATGACACTTTATTTTTAACCACATACAGCGTCTGTGTATAAATGGATAGCCAACAATCCACAATACTGACAGGACATAGCAAAAAGGTCAGATTCATTCCAAACCATAACCCTGCTTATAGCTTGAAATTCATCAGACGTTTTCCTGTGTTCTTAATCAAGTTTCTGTCCATTTTAGAGCTGCAACAGTTAATCGATTAAGTCGATTAAAATCGACATTTGCATTGCACCTAAGAGAGTGTTGGCCCTGAACCTGCACTTGCAGGAATCTCAGCTTGGCAACAGGGTTAGCTTTTACAGGAATCAATAGTGTTTAAACTAACAGCCCTTCTAAACTAAAGACACCCTGTTAAACAAACTTCTGCATGCCCAGTGAGACCCAAGATCCTAAGTGCACATTGTACAAAGTGCCTTGACCATTGCACCAAGTCCCATTTACTCCTAAAGCTCTCCATTCAACAATTCAATGCAAGAAGCTCTACTTACAATTGAGGCTGAGACATTGGGCTGCTTAATGCTGGGTGTGCGCCACCTTTGATAGCACAGGGCCTATGTACAGTGTGCACTTTAAACATTCTCCAGGGTATTTCTCCATTACTCTCCAAGCCTCATTGCTTTAACTGCTGCAATTGTGTGTTGAAGTCTTGCCAATTAAATAATTAAGCCAGCACATTAGTGGAGTAATGAGGGAAAAATACGAACAGAGGAACTTCACAGAAGAACTATGAAGAAAAATAACTTCAGACATCAGATGAACTAATCATGTCTTTATTTGTGAACATCTCAGTGTTTTTGTTACCTAAATCTGCAGCTAGAAGCTGGTTTGTTCTGAGGAACGGCAGAATTGTGGTTGAAGTGAGGCGAACTACAACTGTGTGCACTTCAAACATCCAATAATGTACAGGGGATTTAAAATAAAGCCCTTCTTGTTCACAAAGTACACACATAAGCATAAAAAACTAGAGCACAATAGTAGGTACACTTTAACTAATGTTTTACCTGATTCTATTTATTTTATAAAGCAAGTAAAGACGGCCCTTCCTGAAGCAACAGAGCCTTGCTTTAGAGAGGGTCCTCTTCATCCTGCATATGTGCTTCACAGCCCTCTTCATTTCTATGGTACTCATGGCAGCCTCTAGTGGGGCTGCAGACTACCACTCTACTTATAAGAATAAAGAGGTCCACAGCGCACATGCACAGAATAAGAAAGACCCAACAGGGTCGCTTTCTGAAGCAAAGACGCACAATTCTGGACAGAGCCACATAGTAACAATCGTTAGATCAAAGATGATGTTTTAAAGAATTAATTGTACCACAGATAGATTTGTCTTTTAACCAGGCCCTGTCACAGGGAAGGGGTCTGATTCAGGGTAATGTGCAGGCAACTAGGGGTGATATTCAAACTTTTTGTCATGGCCCCATGCCAAGCCTGAAACTTTTAAACAGTTGAAAAAGACTCACAAACATGATCAGGGAGTGCAGGGAAGTTGACAATTGTTCCATGCAGCCTTAAAAAAGTTCAAAGCCGCATGAAAAAAACTGTGCACCTCTTGTACCTCACTTCTGTCTCATGGCTGTGAGTCTTTTTCAAGACTCTTGACAAGTCTGCATAATTAGACTTTTGACTTTCAGGTAACTCTTATACCATACAAGCCTCAGTCTAACTGGATTTATTAACTGGCTTCAGCCGGGAAAATCTTTTAATTGCTGTAGTAAGAATGGATGTAAGTAGGGATGCAGCGTTGTATCGGCCGAAAATGGCACTTTTGGCTAAATGCCGAAAGTGCCATTTTTGTGCCGATACATCGGCGCATCTCTGCTTTCTTTCCTCCCCGCTGGGCGCTGCTCTGTGTTCCAGCGGAGAGGAGAGAAAGTGTGACAGCCAGCCGAGCGCTGCGGGAGGAGAGCGCTGTGAGTGGCCGATGTCTCTCCTCCCACACCGCTCAGCCTCCTATCACAGTCCGGCAGAGCGGTGTGTGGGCGGAGACAGCCCGTGCTGTCACTGGAGGCTGAGCTCTCCTCCCTGCACCACTCGCTCAGCCTCCTGTGGCAGCTGTCAGTAAGGAGAGCGAGTGCAAACACTCAGCGATCAGTGATCGCTGAGTGTTTGTACATAATTGAGGACATAGCATGTTGACTATATGCTCAAATTTCCATTTCGGTGCACCTCTAGATATAAGCATAACCAACTTTTTTGCATTTAAATTCTATGTACTGATTTGTATGATGTTACACGTGTTCCTCTTAATAATGTCTTTGCTATTTCTATGGGATTAAACATAATGAAGTACTGATCTAATTTTACCTGTATTTTGTTATCCTCATTCGTAATTTCAATGGCTTCTTGACTCTTCTCTAACGTAGTAAATAAAGAATTACAAGCCCTTAAATAAACAATTCAACAGTCAGTGAGGTTGAAAAAGAACATTTCTTCAACTTGGCATCTACAGTTTAAAGGCATGATTCACTTAAAAATCAATACAATGAATTAGCTCCATACAAAAAAATTACATGTGATCACTTTTAAATATTTGTTAGCTTTATCATTTCTGTGCAATTTTTCTTCAGGTAAATGTAGGTAAGTAAAAGCATAATGCCACATATAATTTTGCCAATGCTTTAAAAAACAACTAGTGAATATGTTTTCAGAACGTGTTTGTCATATTAGTCATATTAGGTATAATAGTTAACATTGTGAATTATATATTTACTTACATAATTTATTTTATTCCATAGACAGTATAGTGATTAGTGGTGTAAGCTGGGAACCAGGACAGACATGTCCCAAAAGGCAGAGTGTGGGAAGTAAGGAAGGGAAAGCCTGGGCCCCTTGTGCGTTTATAGCTGTTAAATTTAGAATAATACATTTTTTGTTACATCTTTAGCCCCAGCAGTATGTCTGTAATATGACAGGATCACTTCGGGAACATTTGAAAACTGGCTCCTTTCTTCTAATGTGAAAAAATAAAGTGAGCTTAAAGTAAACCTTGGGGTTCTTCATACAAGGTGCCCTATTATGCAAATATCGACCATGGCTTTTGGGGTTACTTGCAAGCCCTCTCACTCCTCTCCGCACTTTCCAATTGGCCACCAAATCCAATGGATGATCTCACTAGTCAACAAGAGCATGGGAAGCCAGGCTAGGGTTCAGCCATATAAAAACGGTAAAAAGGCGAGCGCACAACTGTTATGCAATGTGGCAAGAGGAATAGATCTAATTAAAATAAATTTTTAATACTAAACAATTCTGGAACAATTTTGAAGTAAAAACAAAAACAAAAGTTAAAACGAATTTTTGAAACGAATTATTAAAAATTAGTTGAAGAATGGGGTGAGCCAGCTTCTCGTTCAGGGGGAGGGACCCTGCAGACACATGTAAAAAGGAGGGTGGAAAGAAGCGCTGCAACCCTGGGATATTGTGGGGATAGGTAACAACTTTAAAAACTTTAAAAACAATACTGGACTGAAAACTCACTGTTTAGGTGGACCAGATGAGGTCTTGCAAATCAGGAGAAAGGCTGTATGGATCGCTCAGCAGTGTCTTGAGGCGATCGGGGTGGATGTGGTAAACGGGCCAAATCGTCGATTAGGCAGTGCATGAATTTTCACTGGTGATTCTTTACTGTTGGGTGGACGTAGTAATGTCCTGCCGGTGAGGGGTATGAGTTTGGAAGTATCTGGTTTGGTCCCCTGATGGTGGAGGAGAGATAATGGTGACAGCTAGGAGGCTCCTGTGGCTGGAGCGCAAGAATTTGCCGTCCTGTAGCCTTGTTTGTACAGAGGCTCTGCACTGGGGGTGTTCGTGCCGTCCAATACCGTGGGAGGTCAGCTGGCCAGGCTGAGACCCGACGGCTGAAATTCTCCTGATTTGCAAGACCTCATCTGGTCCACCTAAACAGTGAGTTTTCAGTCCAGTATTGTTTTTAAAGTTGTTACCTATCCCCACAATATCACAGGGTTGCAGCGCTTCTTTCCACCCTCCTTTTTAGGGTTCAGCCATAGAAGATGTGCCTGATATCTGCATGGCATGCATGTGAAGATACTCTGTGGTGTCCAAGCTATGTGTGATGATGTCTCATGCTCCCTGAACCACTCTCATAATTTAAGCCTGATGAATCCTGGCATTGTCATCTTGGAATATGTCTGTGCCATGAAATAAGAAAAAAATCCATTGATAGATAAACCTGGTCATTCAGTATATTCAGGTAGGCAGCTGACCTAATTTTGAGCACATTGCTGAACCTAGACCTGACCAACTGAAGGCTCTCACCTATTTGCTTAGCTAAATCCATGTGGTGCCTTTCTTTGACCAGGCAGTGTGAAGCATGGATGGGGAAATGGAAACAGGGGGTGCCTGCTCTATGAGTATGGGCCTTCCATAGAAGGCAAGGTGAGCCAAAGGGGACATTTCTATATTCTATAGAAAACCTGCTAGAATTGTTTAGACTGCTTTGTTGACCTCTACTTCTGAAAATTCTAGTCGCTAGGCATATAGAAGCAAACCCAAAATAAAAAAACACATGAGCACAACCTACAGCGTAAAATTATGTGTTGTCATATTCTTACCTTAGTTTAAATTGTGCACGTACTTCCCCATATTCTAGCTGAATAAGCTCATTGTAACAGGCCATAACGTTAGAGTTTTCTACATATCTCTGCAAGTGAGAAAACAGACACTGATAAATGACACTGCAGAATTTATCCATCTCAGATCCATTCTACACTTTATGGTCAATGAAAAAATGGGAAACCAATAGTGCAATGCCAGTGTGGGTTAAATATCATCATTTTTAGTTCGCTTCCTTCAAGGAGTGCTAGACCAAAAAAAACTATCTAGGTGCTTTTTACTGTTGTCAGTAGAAGCACTTGTTCCTCTGACATTGCACATTTAATTGACTCTTTCCGTTTGCCTACACAACCCCCTTTTCTCCATGTCAGGAAGGGGACAAGGTCAGGTATTTTCCTGAGCTCCTGCGGATAAATGGAGTGGCAGGAGAGTGTGAAAATGATGACTATAAAAGGGGGAGCCCTATCAAGAGAACCTTTCACTTTGCTCTGAAAGGACAAAGTGACGTATTCACTTTGATATAAGAACAATTTGGATCAGATTCACCAAGTCACATTGCTCTAACTCATCTGCATTTAAAAGATGGGGACCTCATGTGGCTACTCCTCTTCCTCAAAATGTAAAAAATAGCAGGTCTGAACAAGAAAAAAAAAAACCTCTGTTCATAAAATAACATACTTTGTTGGACACTGGACTATGTAGTATCTACTCCTATATCACAGAAAATAGGGGAAATGAGGTTTGGGTAATTGTATTTGGTGATTTCAAAAACGCAAAAACATTTTTCTTTTAAAAACAAAATCTGGTTTCAATTAAGTCAGAGTTTTTCTTTAATATTTTCACACCTGCTAATATACATGGCAGAAGTAGTACGTGAATTGTTTTAGGTAAAAGTTGCTGTAGTAATATGAAATGTCCAGCCCAGAATGGGTGACAATACTGTGCATCATAAATCCAAGAAATGTAAGTTATAGCTTTAGTTGAGGGACCCAATAATTCGGCTACAGCTCGCGGTATACTGAGACAGCCGTAGCCGGGACGGATCCTGACATTACTGTCGAGATCCACCCAGCTGCATGATTGACAGCTGGCTCTGCCTATGTAGAGGCAGAGCCAGCTGTACCCGCCCCTCCCACGTTCGATCCTCCAGTCAGTGCTGGAGGATCGGACAGGGGAGGGGGAATCACGGCTCTCTGCAGGGACAGGATCGAGAAGTGAGCGAG